AGTTGCTGTTATCTACAATACTGACAAATCAGTAGAAAATATCAATATCAAATTAGAATGAATAATCAAACTTATGTTTATTAAGAATAGAAATGTTAGCCCGTTTTCCTCTTTGTATATTAATTTTGGTAATGAAACAATTGATGAGGTAAAAAACATCCGTTATTTAGGACTTCAAATTGATAAACCTTACCTGGAATGACCATATTCGAAAATTAAATAAAGCGATTGGGTACAAAAATAATTAACATCCTAAATAAATTGGCAGAAATACTAAATGAATCCCTTCTAAATATTCTTTTATAGAAGTACACAACCCTATATGGATTATGCAATCTCAGTGTTGGGAACTACGTCTAACAAAAACAAAAACATTCTATTATGGCTACAAAAACGAATATACATATTTATATATGATATACATATTATTATAATGGAGTGGATGATTCTGATCTCATTTCCGTTTTTGGCTTAGGCCTAACAGTCAGAACATGTCGATGTCGAAATGTCGAAAATGTTCACTGTTTTTCGATGGCTACAAAATTTTGGTTTTATGTCCGATACCTAAATTATATATTGCGCTTGCTGGTAAAGATAATTCTATTGATATTATTAACGTTAAATAAAGTTATATAGGCCTATTTAGATTTTTTTTTTCCCATTTTGTGTATAGTAATTGATTGTTATGTGTTCCATATCTTTTATGTTGTTAAGTGGCTCTCACTGTTGAATGAGGAATGAAATGCAATAAACTAAAATAAAAATTATATACCTTAAAACATCGAATTGGAGCCCGGCTATAGGCTTAATCGAGAAGGAGCGCATCTCGAATTCAAGCCCCCTCTTCAATTTGCAGAATTAGCATCGAAGAGAAGTCCATTATTAAAAGAAATGGGCTTCTTTTCAAGTTAGCATAAGCGCCTTTTCGATGTAGTACAGTACAGGTACATACCCGTCCAATACATGAATTTCAAAGAATCAAAATAATTGAAAACACGCTTGGTTTATACAGTAGTTTAGTTAATTTAATGCATATATATACATACATTCACACACACACACATATATATATATATATATATCTTTATATATATACATATAAATTAATAACATAGGTAAGCACGTGTGTTCAAAGTAAGATAGAAAAATATGGAGACGATGGTAAATGAAAATACAGACATCGAAGGTAGACTTAAGGAACACAAAAATATTTATTGTAAGTTTCACGTATATTTCGGTTGTTCCTACAACCTTCTTCAGCGTGTAAGAGAAGACATAATCAAATAGCTTAGACAGATCATCATGTTAAATACAAGAAAATAATGTAATAATCTGGTGGTACAATTACCACAATCAATAATGAATAATATCGCAAATTGGTATAAATTTATTCCGGGTTATATTTATATAGTTAAACAGCATAACATAAGTAAACAAATGAAATACTAAGTTGTCGTGTAACTAAACAATGTGTGTCTCCAGGATCATGTAGCATAATTATGCGGTTGATGTTGTCATTTAACTACCCACAAATTAGGAGAAAATATCAATATTGAATTAATCAATAATGAATAATTTCGCAAATTGGTATAACTTATATATATATGTATATATAGTTGTTGTTATCTTCACTACTGACAAATCAGTAGAAAATATCAATATCAAATTAGAATAAATAATCAAACTTATGTTTATTAAGAATATAAATGTTCGCCCTTTCTCCTCTTTGTATATTAATTTTGGTAATGAAACAATTGATGAGGTAAAAAACATCCGTTATTTAGGACTTCAAATTGATAAACCTTACCTGGAATGACCATATTCGAAAATTAAATAAAGCGATTGGGTACAAAAATAATTAACATCCTAAATAAATTGGCAGAAATACTAAATGAATCTCTTCTAAATATTCTTTATA